AAAAAAAAAAAAAAAAAAAAAAAAGTCCATTTAAAGGGGAAGAGAAAAAAAGTCAAAAATTTTGCCCTAAATCCATTTATTCTAAATGACAGTCTTGCAATCTTTCCTTTTCTTATTGCCAAAACTCTCAAAGAAGTATTTCAAAATACCAATTACTTAATATTTTCTCCTAATTTTCTCAAAACTGAGTGTTCCTTTCCAACACACACACGCACACACACACAAATGACCCTCTTTCTTACCGCTTATCCCGCATACACCCCACCACACACGTTTCCCTGTAATGATGATTCCCTCCTGTCAAGTAATCCTCCTATTGGAGTCCATGATTGGTAATTCTTCCGATAATTAACATCAAGCGGTACAGCATGGGAGTGTCCCCTGCCAGCCTCAGCCTCACTCCACCTTAGTGAGGTTTTCCCTTATTAAATTTCACAAAGGGAAGGGGGAATCCATGCAAATTACATGGATCAGGAATGTGGTTCTAGTAGGTGTGACAGGAGGGACAGGGATGAGGGCAGTTTTACTTCTTTGGATGCTCCATGCTCCAATAAATATAGTAACAGTAATAGCAAAAGTAAATGCTTCTCTGCACATCACTGTCTGCCTGCTGATTTCTCCATGATGATCCAGAAAAGCAGGCATATATCCATATTCTTCTTCACCCCACAACTGCACACAACCCTTCACCACCTTCCTACGGTTGACAGCTTCATTGAGCAGGACAAGCCCTCACCACCTTCTCATCCGTCAGCTAATCCTTACTTCCTAAATCAATCAAAATATAGCAGCAACTAGTCTAACGGCCAAGAACTGGAAACTCTCCCAAAGTCCTCCAATAGGAAAGCAGATTTTATAAAAGCAGGATTTCCATACAGTGGAATAACCAGCAGTAAGAGGAATGACTTACACAGTGTGGACGACTCCCATAAGCATGATACTAAGTAAGGTGGCTGCAAGAGAGCACAATAAACATTACAATTTTTTTAAAAAAAACTGGAATATTAGGGGTGCCTGGGTGGCTCAGTCAGTTGACCATCCGACTTTGGTTCAGGTCATGATCTTGTGGTTTGTGAGTTCGACCCCACATCAGGTTCTGAGCCATCAGCACAGAGCCTGGAGCCTGCTTCAGATTCTGTGTCTCCCTCTCTCTTTGCCCCTCCCCCACTAAATTCCCCCTCCCTGGTCTCTCTCTCTCAAAAGTAAACATTTAAAAGATGTTTAAGAAAAATTTGACTTTTTAGAACAACACCTCTAGCACCATTGGGCCATAAGCCTGAATGTGATCTGCCACCTGAACACATCTCCAATATGACCCCAGCACTACAAAATTATCTTGAGATCAGGATCAGGATTCGTGTGCACTTTTATCTGCCACAGCCTTAGTAAATGAGAGCCTGGCTTGTTTAAATAAATTAAAAAAAAAAAACAAAACACCAAGGTTCTCAGAATTGGTGGGATTTTGGGTTGAAATCCTGGTAAGTATTTACCAACAGTGTGACCTTGGGCCAGTGATTTAACCTCAACCACCCTCCTATCTTAGTCTACAGTTAGGACTATTGCCTAACTGGCAGAATGAAGCCCAGAGACATAAACTCACATAGCAGTTCTCCCCACTACCTGGTGCAGACCTCTCTGAACACCTTCCCGACTTAGGAAATAGGGCCTGTAAGAGTGAGCATTTACCAAACACCTATTCTGTGCCACGCACTGTTCCAGGAGCTTTACATGTTTAACCTGCTTCACCAATTCTACTCTCAAGTGAGGACACTGGGCCACAGACACATTAGACTGCTGGGCTAGGAAATGGCAGAGCCTGGACGGAAGCTCAGGCAGTCTGACACACCAACCCTCGTTCTTAATCACACGAATACCTGTTCTGCCTAATGAGGATAAAAACATGATGTTCTGTTGGGGGCGGGGGGGGGGGGGTTCTTTTCGTGAAAAACTAAAAAATCAGGGGATTATGATTTTTAAATTAGGAACAGTCAATATGAAGTTTGCAGTGAGTTACCTATATAACAATACCTGTCAGGAAACATGCCAAAGAAAGATTTATGTGCACCTTTTAGCCATCACCTCAACCGCTGTGGTTTCTGCACCATTGGGAAATGTGATTCAGCACCACTTTTCAGGATTGAAAGGCTTCTATGTCCCCTTTTCATTTGTTTGAAAAGTACTTCTTGCAGTCAGAGCCAGGGGGATAAGCCAGGAGCCCTAGAGGTCATCTAGCTACATGAAAACCCTGAGGCAGGCAAAGAGAAATGTGTGACTTCTCCACATCAGCCAGTCAAATGGGCCAAAGGCTATTATGTCTGGTGGGACCCGGCTCTCCCGACTTCTAGCTTGGTGTTGTGATCCTGACACAGGGCTTGTGGTTTAAAGACTGGTAAAGCACGATAATCACACCAGATAGAAGCAGGAGGGGCATGAACATTGGAGCCCAGAAGAGAGATTCACCACAGATTAGCACTCAGGAGTCAGCAGTTAATGGCTGTATTAACAGAAGCAGAGCCCCTGA